AACAGGGGCATTCTGAAGATGCAGTATGAACGGTTTTCAGTGGCGGATCCATAATTTGAGATAGAGGAGCCAGGGTAGGGACTTTCACAGATAGAGGGTCTATACCACCTTGGCCTGACCATGGTTGCCGATGAGGTAAATAAACACTCAAAAAGGTTATATAATACAGATAAAAGTCGTTGATTGTACGAGGAATTGGAGGGGGTCCTAGTTGGAAACTGCTCTGATTGGCCAAGGAGGTGTGGTGGATGGTTTTCTGGAACGTGCGAAAGTTAGTCTTAAATTTTCTATCTCGGAAAATGTGGACCTTTGGTAATTTGTGGAAGAGGGGGTGGGTGCATACGCACCCCCTACGTACGAGCCTGTTATTTGGTCCAGATCGGATATTGGTATCTAATACTGTGAATCAATATTTATACAAAGCATGTAATATAATGTAACAAATGGTATATCATTTATCATAATAGATAATGTTATAATGTGACATAAAATAATATAGTCCTAATAAAATATGACCTATATTTTTATTCTCTCGATCATTAGGTTGGCCAAGTTAATGTTGATTACGAAACTGTTCTACTTTGGCCATGGCCCATTCAAAATGAAATATAATTCGTAATTATTAATCGGATACTGTAATGATCGCCGTATATTTCATTCCCGATATGACATAAAGCTTAGTAGAAAATTAGCTCTACAGACATATACCGTAACTGTCGGCGCGAGACTAATTTAACTGTGTAAAAATCATGCTTCAAGGATTTCCAATTTAGCATTCATTAAAAGAAAATGTTATCTAATTGAATGTACATTATTTTGCTGGTTCTATTAATGAGTTGTAAATACAGTGTCCATTCCACAGGCGTGTATGCTCGATGGCCGGTGATCTCTCAGAGCCTTGGAGCAGCTTCAAATTAGAAATATTTACGCAAATCATGTAGGTATGTAGGCCAATATGCATTTTTCTCGTACTTGACTTAATTTGTTAATCGTAGATAAACGATTCTGTTGATTACACGTTGTCTTTCAAGACTTGTGACACTGTGCGACTACTAACACGCCTGTGGCACTGTGCGAAGAGTAAGTCAAGCCCTGCATTTAGGCCCTGTACGTGCACGCTTAGCTTAATGTGGAACGAGTTTAACACGCGTGAGCATCTAAAGAAGTACACGGTAAAGTTACGTAGACCTACATACTGCTGTGACCAAAAGTATTGAGTTCAATTTTCGGCTCAATTATTGGCTTTGACTTATAGACTCATGGAAGAATAGAGTCACCTAAACAAACTCAGCCCACAAAAGTAGCCCCTATCTGTATATTGTGATTATCAATGCTTCTATTGCGCTTCCGGAACCTCCAGCTTGTATTACGGTACTCTTGCATCCACTGAACTTTGTACATACAACTGTTGCTTTGACAAATTAGAGTAAACTACTTCTTGAAGAGAAAATGTTTCTGAAAATAGCATCGAATATTAACACATCGCTCTTGGTCGTCTATATATAATATTTTTTTTTATCTGTGATCTACAATTTCTAGTATGTATCGCAAACGAGTTATATTACTAAATTACTTTAAAGCCAATTCGCTTCAATACTAATCAAAGCGACGAACGATGTCATCGTTTCGTCACCGTTTAATGTTTTCTTTATCGAAAGTACATTGTTAAGCCTGTCGCAGCGCATTAGACTCACCAACCCATGCACTGATTCTCCGCAATTAGCTTAACCTGAACTTCGTTCACCTTCAAACCAACTCTGGATATTAAAGTCGAGTCCCACATTTCCATGTGATGTTGCGCGAATAAACAGTAATCTATCAGCTGATGCGCGCAATTTCACGCGCTGTTATTATCCAGTCGCGAGGTGCGAAGAACAGGGTGTTTACATTTTTAATATAGGCTACAATGAGTTTAAAATGAATTAAGACTCGGAAATAAATTCGTATGATGTGATAGAGATAACTCTTAACCGTCATGCGGTAATGCTATGATATATATATATATATAAGATGTGTATAAGAGTCAAAAGCCTACATACTATATTATATATTATTGTTCACTAACTCAATGAATATATTCAAATTCACTTTGGCAAAGCAAGCAATGGTAATGATTTATTACCATGTTAAAATTTTCTCCATCTGGAAACCCTAGGGTGATGATTCCTAGTTTGAGTGACACGCAAGGCACAAACTATTTAAAACAATTATGCAAAGCACATTATCGACAATAAAGTAGGAACAGGCTGCTAAATAATAATAAATCGTACTGTTGAGTAAAGCGTATACATGCGAACTAGGATGATGAAATACACCAATAACGGAGGTCATAAATCAGGTGGGGGTTTAGAGAAATAGTCAGGAGGCTGGGGGGGGGATATCCCTTGAGCTGAAGCAAACCAGTATGTAATAGGTAAGTTTTATCACCACTTTGATAGGTAAATTTCTAATGCAAGTGGACAAGTGGAGTGGGTGTTTCGGTTTATCAAAGAGGAGGGGAAGGTTCAATAGGAAAAGGCATTCCTTCGAAAAAACCAACCTCCTGGTTATGGGTCTGGCTCGGTTCAGTCGACTAACTGACTTATTGCTATGGAGTGGAGACGTAGCTTGGTAGTTAACATTAACATGTTTGCCTTCCAATCCCAAACACAAATCTCCACTCCCAAATTTGCTGATAAAACCTCACGTTATCTCCTTCATTTAAGAGGGTCTCTGAATACCAGATCTTTGTTAGGTACCACATCCATCTCTTTCACACTCACCCAGTACTCTTACCCCGTTTGACAAGCATTGTTCAACTCTACTCTAAGTCACCCCAGCGATCTACCAGGGCCCCGGAATATTACCTTCGCCAGCCCCACCCCCTTTCGGCGTTAGTTCCCTTCCCTACATAATAACATAATAAGCACATTGACAGCAGGTCTGTACATTATATTATCGTTTTTCGTTCGGCTTTACTTTGCCGATTAATACAGTTATTAACGAAAAGTTGGCTAATTTTAAAGCAGTCTCCCGGTTGTTTCAATGTTTCATAAATCTGGTCAAACTGCGGCCGACAATCGTCGGCCGACGCGATTCTATAAAGAACGCAACGCCATGACACGCGCGCAATGGATCGTTTTTAATGACGAAATGTTTGGACTGCCACCGAAAGTCAGCAGCCGGCGTTGCGTCGTCTAACGCTCACAGGGAGCGAAGTTGGATTTGTCGGCCGACGGTCGGTCGTACGACCGAGGTACGACAACGAGAGTGTCCGGCTATTAAGTGTACATCGATACATGCCTCATACAGGCCTCATGTTATATACAGTATACTGGTTATGTATTAATTGGTAACAGGTGTTTCTGCCACGACTGTACTAGTAGCTCCTATTTTCGTGCAAACATTTAAAGGGCCATAGACCTGTAGCATACATACATCGCCAAATTTGGATTTGGAAGTGGGCGGCAATTAATAACTAATGAAGATGTTGAGTTGGCCTTGATTGCGGTGAGGCAACAGTTACAACGGATAATGAAGACGCTCAATATAACATCTATATAATGATCATTAAGGAAATAGAAATAGGCCTAAATGATGATGGCTTAAACCATTAAACCAGAGGAAAAAAACCTTTTTGGCAAATTAGCATCTGCGGATGATTGTCATAATTAGTACAGTAATGTACATACTAACAATTCATCAAAGAAAATGAAAAAAATACTACTTGAATATAATTGATTTCCAGCTATTAGGTCAATAATATTTGAATCGTAATCAAGCGGCACAGAAAACACATAGCAATCGAAAATAATGATATATTTATATAGTACGGTACCATTTCAAAATATATCAAAGGAAAAGTTGTGAGAAAACAAACTTTTCTGAAATATCCTTCCTTTATTGGTTTATGTATTTATTTGCATTTAAGATTATTTATACTTATTGGGAAAAATAATGTTTCTTTTGATTTTTCTTACAAATAAGTTAATTGCAAGACAAATTGCAACCTTAATGATGCAAGGAATTCGATGTAGAAGGGAATTAAAAAGAAAAGGTACGGTACGTTGGCCATAAGTAATCCACTATAAACTTACTATCATTGGACAACGTAGGCCTAGATAGGATACATAACACTAAACAAATAAAACATGTGCATAAGAGGTATTAAGTAAACAAATTGTAAATTAAGATATATCTGATCGAATATAGATAGGCTTTCAGTACACACAGTTTTGAGATACAGAACGAGTTTTACTATAAACAGAAATGGTCATAATCCAAAGTATCATTTAAATGTAATGCTATTATACAACCGACTCCAGCGTGACAGTGCTAATGTTCACCGTTTTATAGGCATTGTAACGCTTTCCATCGAAGTTTTCAAAAGTGTTTCACATTATCATGCTATAGTCATTGTCCTTGTCAAAGAGTAACACTCATACACAACTCCTCTCCTTGGGGACCACTTCAAAATCATTCAATATTTAGCAGGCACCAAATGCATTCAATCAAGGGAACATACTCATCATAGCAAGCATGGACAATGAGTGATACGTGGTATAGTGCCTTCCCAATGACAGAAGCGAAATGAATCATGTGGGATTCGAACCCACGATTCCGTGCCTAAATCTTAACCTCTGCGTCAACCAAATACCACAGGGGTGGAGGGTTCGTAAAGGTGACGAGTTGGTATTGTTTATAGCCAATACCGTTAATATCCTAATATAAACTAATAACACATTTCTGGGATTCTTGTAAACAAATAAAGCATACAGATAAGACGAGAAAGCGAGCTGGTCTCACCAGAAACCAGATAATCAGCATAAATACACGAATAGCAGGTCAGATTGCTTGTGAAGGCCCCTGCATATACAGTACAATTAAATGACTATGCTGGCGCTCAGCAAACATTCGGAGGCGCTTCGTTGATGCGGCTAGTACCTACCTCATGAAAATATTTGCTCCATTCGAATCGAAATTCTCCGTAAAATGTTTCCAAGAATCTGTAATCAAACTAATTTCGTTGATCGTCAGACTCATGTTGTTGCCGGCTGTTTAACGGGTCCGTAACTGAGCTAGCGGTGTCGGTTACGCGGTTGAATATCTGCGTTATATTAAATCGCGGTTAACATGAACATGGAAGGTGTGATAAAGCAGACGGCATTGAAGAGAAGTAACGATTTAACAAATATTGGCAATTGGTGATTGCTGAATATTCATAAGGCAATCGACAGTGACTTTTGGTAATCGTTTTCAGAGGTTGGGTAAAGTCCAAATGATGGTTGCGTTTTGATCGAAGTAGCGTCTTTTGAATCTGCTCTATTTTTTTATGAGCGGCTAACATAAAAGAAACACTACTATACCAGTAAACTTCTTTAAAATATTGTCTCTTTATTAAATCATATAGGCGGTGGTTCCCGTCAGCTGCAATATGGTTGGATGCACACACGTGCGTACTTTTTAATGTCTGTTTTTATAAGCATTAATGATAAAAATGTAGATCTGTGCATGCGAAAGATTATGCAGGCCTTTGGAAATTGCAGTATACGCTAGAACAGATGTTGACGCGATTATTTTTTCAAATGCAATGTGTTCTCAACATTTGTCTAGTGAAGACCTATGTCTAATTACTCGCTCACATTCGAAAACAACGCTTATGCCTACCCCCAATTCGAATTCCCTAGCGAATTCACTATGGATTCACGGGTCCAAATCCACGCGTGCACGGCGTCGTGCGCGCCAAGGGTACACGATCTTTACAGCCAATCCGAGGACGGGAAATCAGGAGGGATACGGTATGCTCTACCAGGGAGATGTAAAAAATATTTGTTACATCTCCCTGGCTCTACCAACATCATGAGCATCATCATTATAATAATTATCATCTGGCATTATCTACATCATCATCTTCATCCTTATTGCTATTATAATTAGGCCTACTATTATCACTACTTTTTACTTTCTTATTATTACTCTATAATAATAATAATAATAATTATTATTATTATTATTATTATTATTATTAGGCCTATTAGTATTAATATTAGTATTATTATCACACTTAGGCCTGCCATTACCGTTATTGTTGTCATAATAGCTATTAGGCCTATTGTTATTGTTCATGTTAATTTCATTAGTATTTTATTAGTATTATCATGATTTTATCTAATAATTTAATTATCCACAGGAATCGGACTCAATAAAAGTATTAGAGAGTTCCATTAACAGAAGAGGATCATAGGTCAAGTTGATACGGAAGAGATGTCATACATTACACCAGGGAACAGTGAAATTACACTAATTTCACTGTTCCCTGATTACACACAGGATGCATAAAATACGAAAATACTCATGCTATCTACATCACCATAAGCTTTATTATTCTCACAATTTAATTTAGTTAATCATTTGCACATAATACTGGAAAAGAATATCCAATAAACGAAAAACGAATTGCACTTTTGATATTAAAATATAAAAAATAATATTTATACAATTGCATTTAGGTGATTAAACTAATCATTTTTTACTTGCAAAATGTACCGAGTGTTTACCGCGCGATAACGCCTTAACCGCGCGTTGTTTGTTCAGGAACTCCTGTATGCGGTACCGTTTGCCGGTCCCCTTCCCCCCGCTTGTGTTGTTTTCAGCAGCGTCGGCGGAAGACTGTTGCTGGCGAAGGTGCATCTCTTGTAGAGTAGCAGGCATAGTGATTTCTTTGATTGGAGCCAAGTTAGTAAATGGTAGTGATGAGTAAACAACCACCTGTAAATAAGCAAGGGTAATAGTAAAATTCAGTAATATACAAAGGCGTATCAACCGAAAGATTCTTGACTACCTATATGTTCCCCTCTCCAACCCACTGAAAATTCTATGAGCAAAACATATACGCTCAAGTAGTTAAAAATCAACTCATATTACCGTAATTTTGCCAGCTATTCCCTCGCTTAATTATTAAGCCCCCACATAACCTTTCCAACTCCCACATTCAGGTCCCATTCCCCACGAAAATACTCCTAAATACGCCAATGGTAGGCCAGGCCTAATTATATAATATAAAATATTATACTAGAGGGCATATCCACGTAAACCTCCACGCTACGCTTTTTGGTTACAATGCAACCGAGAAATTGCTAAATGTATACAAGCAAGTATATATTCCTAATTGATTACACAACACAGTCCATGGCTAAACTAATTAATTCACAAAATATCAATTATTTATAATTTAAAAGCCGGCTAAAGCTATGATTTAATAATTAAAGAGAATGTATCATTCTCATTTGGATCAAATTACAAGGACGGAATTGATATTTTTAAAAAGCCATTTGTTTTCTGATAAGTCACATCACATTAATACCAGGGGGAGTAAAGTTTTAAGCAGAACAAAATATAGGGAAAAAAATCAATACACATTACTTAACAAAGGTAATATTAAGCTTAATTAACTACAGTCTTCCAATAAAACTTCCTTTCAGCGACTACTCTCAAATCATAAAATGTATTCAATTGTATTATAACTAATTCCTTTGATTCAATTTGATTCAATATCTTTCTTTAACTGTTATAAAATAAAATAAAAACACAGTAATTTGAAACGATCTCTGTGCTCTCTCAACTCCTATAACGATTTATTAACAAATTCAAGTATGTTACTCCAAGCATATACGGTAAGCTGTCACGGAGAGGAGATATTGCTACTTGATTAAGATGTTCTCCTTTTAATCCCAGGGCCCTGAGTTCAAATCTTGTGACAGCACATGTTTTTTTTTCTCACGATTAAAACACATCTCCTCTCTCTAGACTTTGTTATGAGACTTAGTTTATAAAGCATCATTTATCATTTCATTTATTAAAGGGAGCCACTTAATACACGCTGACCTTTCAGGATAAGTTTGAAGGGTCACTCCTTATCTCTATAAATATGGTATACAAAAATAGCTGTTGATTTTTTAAAATGTCACATAAAACTGTAAATGTATTCTATATATTATAATAATTAGTACTTTCTATAAACCGGGCACATACAGCGTCAGTTAACGTGTGAGCGCTTGGGACGAAACACAATCTGCTGATTGGTCAGTTGCAATTTGAGCGCATTTACTGTCGTTGAAAATCATCCGTCGCACACGCCTGGTCGCGTTGCGGACTCCATATTCGCGTTAGCCGACAGACCACCGTGGGTCGACGCTTGTGCGCCAGCCTGATTATATGTTTTTTATCAGTATAAAGGACTCCTATCCATATAAACGGCAGTGATAAAAAAAAGTTGGCTCGAAGCTCCTATCTCGTGCACTAGCAAAATTAATATATACTCGTCTGTCCAGCTAATAAACTTCAACAATAACATTCTCAATTTGAATTGCTTACACTGTTTATATAAGGAATTTAATAGCTTTCCTTAAAACCTGAAAGCATTTCCCGTCAATTAACAGACGCATAAATAATAATACCGTTTATATATTTCTAGCATAGATCCCTAAATTGACTGAACCGGTAATCAATTTAAGGATTTTTGTATAGTAAAAAGTCTCTAAATCAACGAAAATTGGATACTTTCTATCTGTCTCATTGGAATTTATAACTTATTTGATCCTGTTTACCATCTAATGTTTCAATTGAATTATTTTCCCAGATTTTATTACACTTTACAGACAGAATGTTTGTAAGTGTGTTAAGAGAATGAGGTTCTAGATGTACAGACAAGACTACTGCTAAAACTGCTGTTCAAGAGGCTACATAAAGCCCGGGAATTGTAAAACATGGTTCACGCTAGAGTTAGAGACACGTTTACACAAGCAACGCTAATAGGCGTATAGTAGTATTTAGTAGGCTTTGCGTCGCTTGCATTTGTGTGTAGGCGCAGCTGAACCAAGCTCTCGTCTGAAACAAGCTTAAACGAAGTGACCGTTAGTCAGTCTGATTGTGTCACCAAAAAGTAATTATAATTCAAAGTAAAGAGTCATGTGGAAAATTGGAAAAATAAAACGACTCTTAAAATATCAGTCTCACGTGCTTACGTAATACGTTTGATGTGCAGCCATTTATCAATATAATAATAATAATAATAATAATAATAATAATAATAATAATAATATTAATGATAATAATGATGATGATGATGATAATGATGTTGATGATGATAATAATAATCGATGAGCTCTTTGTTGAAAATCAACATGAGAATCAGCGTAGGCCCAATGGCACCCACGGCGGTCGCAGTGCCGTATCTACGATGATCAGTAACCCAGGTACACAATCCCCTACTCTTTTCAAATAGTGTATTGGTGCGCATGTGCTATACAGGACTACATAGGACCAATAGCTTAACGCCCCATCCGAAGAACGAGGCAATCAACCGACAGTGTAAAAGCATAAGCAAACACGCGCGTTTGTGGGACAACACGAGATTTCGTGAGACATGCGCGTATTCCTCACCCTATTTTGATTTGTCAGTTGTTTCAACATGATTGACATTCAGAAAATGTCCATTAGAGCAAGGTGACTTACTCACGATCAGAATCAAGTACGACATTGGCCGGTCCCAAACTCGGTTCATGCACCAATCTCTTACCACTGTAACAACTCGCGCTCTATTATATAAATGTTAGTAGTGGTGTATCATTAATTTCCATTAATTACTATACCTGGCTTTGATTGTGCTTTATATCTGGAAGTGTTGGCGGGATTTTGTGACGGGTTTTTGGTTTGTATGATTTGCCAAGGATCGAGCTGATACCGCGTGCTGCTTTCTTGCACTCCTCTTCCTCTTGACCATCTAGCTGCCCTGGATCGAATGAACTGTCGAATTTAATTTGGTCTGCCTTTTGATTTCGAGAGATGATCATCATAATGTTTTTCGCCAACCTGTTGTACACGTGAAGATAAAACTCGTGCTGAGTATAACATTTTATTGGCAATTTACATCAAAACATTCGGCGGGGTTTAGCTAAGCTATCGTCATTGTTATTATTACGTACTTGACTATTTATTATACCAACGACTGTTTTTATGACATTTCATGGATTAACGCATCGAAAATACAACTGACATTTCTCATGATTTATTACTGAAGTTCACGCGATGTCTTTTTTTTTTCTTTTCTAGTCTGTGTACCAGGCATACATCAGTATATAGGCCTATACAAGACACCGGCCTACATGATCATGTCTGCTGACTCGTTATACGAGTACTGTATGACTGCGAATCAATTTATTCGTTAAAAAAAATATGGTATTGTCGAGGGAGGGGAGCTACCTACCGCCATCTTGGTCGAGTACCACCATTTAGAACCTTTAATGTAAGGGCGGACGCAACACGCTGGACATCTCGTGGCATTCGACGAGTCATATCCTCCGGTTCAATCGGCTCAACCAACTTTGGCCAGCCACCTTCCTGTCCAAACGTACCTACACATGGAGTCATAACAAGAATTCATTAAGGAAATAAATATAGGACAAAAAATATAGCATAAGGAAGTGTGGAAAGGTAATATGTTGAGCGTCACAGATTGAAACTATAGTATATGAAAAAAAAGGTTCAGAATGTCGTTTTTCAGCAAGTAAAATGGTATTGGAGTTGAAGCTTGGTGCTTAAGACGATTGCCTTCCAATTCCAGGATCCTGGGTTCAAATCCTCTGACAGCACAGTTATTTTTTTTTCACGGCTAAGACCCATCTCCAGTCCAAAGCCTCGTAATGACACTTAGTTTATAAAGCATCACATTATTTTATTTATTCAACAGGGTGCCTAAATATCAGCCGACCTGTTTAGGATACGCTAGAAGGGTCACCCTGTATACATATGGTTAAAAAAAAAAAAGATGAGCAGAGCCTAGCCAAAACTAATGTGAAATAAATGGACAAAGTTAACAACATTATTTACCCAAAGACCTGACACTCGATGTCGATCAAGAAAAAAAAAAAAAAAAAAAAAAAAAAAAAAGATGGAGAAATGTAATGGAACTTTCTGGAGTGCCAATCAAACTTAACAATTTCCACCGACCTGGTTTCTAACTTTTCTATTCATCACGTCAGAAATTTAATGCAAAAATAGAGATCGAAACGTATTTTCCTATATACAGTACCCAGATATATAAATCAAAGCATATCAATCATGAATAATATAAAATGTTGCCTATTTCTAACAGAATTGTGAACGTGGGGATTTCAATTATAAATTGCATAACAAACTTTAATTTATTGAAACTTAATGATATTTAAAAGCAGAAACTCACGCTGAATTATAAGCAGTGACATAATCACCACCTTTGCTTTGGTTCTAAATGTCACAATCAAATATTAATCGCTGAATATCACAAACTCTAAATTATAAGGATCGGACAAGAAAGTTCTGTAAATATGAGGGCGCCCGATGCATAGAACATTGTATCACAAATTACATGTCTAGAATTTTATCGTGCGCACAATGCGAACAGTAACTGAATAATACGTAATACGTAATTTAAACTGCGCACGATTATTTTAAATAGTTGGTATAGTAGACATAATGTTGGCCAAATATCAATTATCGCGATATCTTATAGGTCACAGTAAATTGAAAAATATCTAACCTATGTATCTTCCACATATCGTCCAAAGTCGCACGGAACAGTCCGTGCTACAAGAAATAAGAAGGCCCTTATCTTCTGCGTATGATATACTGGTGATGCTGGCCAAATGCGCCCGGAATGAGTTCAGCTTCGGTGGCCATTTAAGGGTTTTCTCCGCGTTCGTAGTCGACGGTGGAGGTCTGAAGCCTGATAGGATTTTCTCGTCTAGCTTCTTTGTAAGGGCTTTCATAGTAGCACTTTGCTTTGTATAAGGGAATCTCCCTCGTCGCATCATAGAGTCGTAGGCGGCCGATGCTTTGCGTCGTAGTCTTGGTTTAATGCAGTATTCCGTTATATCCCAAACCTGTACGACGGAGCAGTAATGGTAAAAAGTACTTTAATGTATTATTAAAATGTTATTAATGTATTAATAACGTATTAGTGATGTATTTAATTGTATGCATAACAAATTTAAACGTGCTTAACCTTAATTCATCATCATAAAAAAATGATTTAATTTTTAAACAAGCCCACCTTAATATATCCTAATGTGTCCCCTGTAATAAGGAATTCATTTTTACTGTCTGTTGTCATAGCAACAACGGCTTCATTTGGTTTGTGTGATGCAGTAAACTGCCCGAGTAGCCCTCCTTTGTGGTGAATTGACCAAGCACGAACCCAGCCTTCGGCTCCACTGGCCATTAGTGTGGCGGTGTCCTTGTCATTTGGACGGGTTTGTAAAAACAGAACCTGGAGAAATTAAAGTTAAACAACAAAGAAATAAAACATATAATCATAAAATCGTGAAGTAGGCAGAGATGAAAAAAAAAGCCTATGAGGCGTCCGCGACTAGCAGTGACATGCATAAATATTGCTGTTTTATTGTCCTTTTTTATTATTCAAAAACACAGGCCTACAATTTTTTAATTTACAACGAAAACAATTTTATCTTTTATCTAAAATGAATTATAATTTTAGATAAAAGGGGTTGAGAAGAGGCAACTACATGCCTATCGGGTTCAACATCCTATAAAAACAAGTAGTTGTTTGCTGATGTTGCTGATCGTTGTTGTTTTTATTATTAAATCGTGTATCAAATTTAAAGCAAAAATGATTAAATCAAAAATATTTGGGTAAAAATTTAGGTAAATAATTAAAATTAATCGACCACGATGGGACTCGAACCCACAATCTTCCGATTCGAAGTCGGACGCCTTATCCATTAGGCCACGCGGCCGTTTCCTGACAACTTTCCGTGGGTAAATTCTATTTATCCTCGTCACCTGTGTGTTAACAATGTTCAAATAATATATCCACGAATGAATTATAATTTTATTCCGACGTTATCATATTATCATTTCTAACAACTACTACTGCTGCTATCTTTTCTATTATTATTATTATTCTTTTAGTAATGCTAATTATGATGCTTTGATGTTAATATTACCATAAAATATTTACTGTAATAATATCACTACTCAATGGATTAATACAGCCTCTGTTGTATACAGACGAGTTTATCGAGAAACTAAGACACGAAGAAACCCTTAGGGGAGAAGAAATTTACGGTATGAGCCACTGTGTAGTCCACGATTTCAGCACTCTGATGGTCTTCATTAAAAATAGCGCTATATAACCTAAATGCTGTGATATATGTATGTATAGAAATGAAAAAAGAATTATTAAAAAATGTATAAAATACAGTTTGGCAAAATTTTAACCAACCACGATGCATGGGACTCGAACCCGCAATCTTCCGATTCCAAGTCGGACGCCTTATCCATACGCGGCCGTATGGTATGATTAAGGGCAGGCGTGTGAGTGTATTTGGAATGAATTAACAATTACTGTAGTTAAGTCACACTAAAAAGATGGCTTCTGTAACATACCTCTGAAAAAGATAACATGTATTTATTAATTGTATATTTTGTACCATACATACTATAATCATTATGCCAGAAAGGATTATTGTAAATGCCGTGTTTAAAAAATTTTAATGCAATTATGGGCAAATAGACCAGAATAACCTGACCGGATGTCTACTCGTACACACTCTGGTGAACCCGTACGCAAATGTACGTGAACTCGTACCCACAATTGGCGATCTCTGACCAGTGAATGATGTTACAGCTATGAGCTCTGGCTAGGCATAACCAGGAGTTGCGGACCTTAAAAATCTGATAACTGCCCGACGGTTGCTTTCGTTGTTTTTGCTACCGCTGTGGCTGCTGATGCTGCCATTTGTTGTTGGTGGTGGTAGTGGTGGTGGTGCTGCTGCTACTACTACTGTTGGTGCTGCTGCTAGTGTTGCTCTTGCTGCTGCTGTAGCTGCTACTGGCAATGGCGTATCTAGGGGTCTCGAAAAGGTGAGGGGATGATGGGGTGGGGTGGCGAAAGTGGAGGGGAAGTTCGATGACTCAGTAGGGGGCGCTAGGTCGTTAGATAATGCGATTATGATTTTTTAAATACTTAAGCATGATTTTTTGCTTCGGACATTTTCAATGGTCGGGGAGGGGCGTGGGGCAACTAGGCAACGGGCTTTTATTTATTTATTTTTTTTTGGGTGGGGGGACCCCTAGATATGCCACTGGCTGTTAGTAATGCTGTCGCTAATACTATTGCTGTTGTTGCTGCTGCTACTAGTGTTGCTCTTGCTGTTGCTGTTGTAGCTGCTGTTTATGCTGCTGCTACTGCTGCTGTTGTTGCTACTAATACTACTACTGCTGTTGTTGTTGCTGATTTTGCAGCTGCCACTGTTGGTGCTGCAGCTAGTGTTGCTCTTGTTGCTGTTGTAGCTACTATTTCTGTTGTTGCTAATCCTGCTGTTGCTACTACTATTTGTTGTCACTTTTGCTGCTGTTGCTACTGCTAATGTTGCTGGTATCGTTTCTGCTACTGTAGCTGCTCTTAAGGCGTCCGACTTCGAATCGGAAGATTGTGGGTTCGAATCCCATCGTGGTTGATTATTGTTTAGCGTCGATATTTTTAATCAGTTTTAATATACGTACGTTCTTCATAATGATGATAAATGTTGAATTACAAGATTGTAAATCAAGTTTGTTGATGTTGCTGATAGCGGTGGTTTGTTAATGTCGATGATGTTGCTGTTGCTATTCCTGTTGCTATTGTTCATGCTACGTCTGTTTCTGTTTAGTGAACCCATAACCCAGGGATTGAGATTATATATTTATTCATTTATTGTTGAATTGATCAATTTCCCAAAAGTGCACCAATTTATCAAACAGAAAGTGCTAGTAGATAGATAATGAATTCGCAAAAACCAAAGCACATAGCCTTCTATAAAATTAAATGACAGATGAAAACACTTTGTTGAGAACCATTACCTTTTCCCGCAGCAAACAAAATATTTATTAGATGACAACTATCGTCAATTTAAATGTGTACTTTTGTCACTGCTGTTGTTAATTGCCCAAAATTTAATGCGAATTAATTAAATAATAAAAAGATTATTCGGCAGATTTTTCTTAGAGCCGACAAGCTGACTAACCTTGTCAACTGATGCCTCGTGTTTACGGCTGTACTCGTCGTAGTTATCGGCGTCAATATAAAACTCTGCCGATTTTCCCTCCATATTCTTAAGGGCAAGCCCTTCCTCTTCCAGCGATCCATCGGAATTGCTGTCGTCTACATCGTCTGTAACGAATGCTCTGCTATCTGGCCTGGAGGTGCTGTCGGCAGTGCTGTAAGTTTGATCGATAACGCTATTTCTGCTCTTTGTATTTATAGCGGGAAGAGACGAAGCACTGTATTGTCTTGCAGTCGTTAAGCTGTCCAAATCGTCTGCTGTAGCCGACTCCTGGGTGCTCTTCAGACGTAGGGACTGACCGTCATCGTCGTCATCTGATTTGTTACAGCCGTACCCTTCTTTATATTGTGATAATGTCATGTTTGATAACTGTTTGTCAAGTTTCGTTATGCTGCCCTCATTCTTCGCAAAACTTTGCTTCGATTCTTGGCGATCCATTAAAGCGGAAGTTGCTGTATGACCCACAGACTGCGCATTGGCGCTCTCGTTGGCGTTGAGTTTGCAGAGCGCATGTGCTGTTTCCAACGACCAAATATAGATGTCCCCGTCGTAAGAAGACGTTGCTAGGATGCTTGGATCATAATAAGCGAGAGACAAGATATCCTCTTTATGTTTTACTTCCCATTGCCTGGAATCGTCATCATCGTCATAATCACTGAAAGCAAAAAGAAGCTACAAAAGTCAAGATATAGGCCGCCTACTGTCTGTGGTAAAATATCAAGAATTTAAATAAAACATTGAATCACATAATTTACTTTAAAACACTTTTTTTGGTAAATCCTGGCTACGGGCCTTAATCGGATGTCCTGTAAACGGTGGTAAAAAGGGACATGAACTTATAAAAAGATGAATGGCGTTAATACAATTATAAAAGAGATATGGTTTCGTGGGAACGGCGATAACAAGGACATAAAATATAAAGATGATTGGTTGAGCACACGTGATGGCCTTTATCGACTTCCGTACAAATGTGACCCGGTAAGCTTCGCTTTTGATCCGCACGTCTCGACACGTGCTGTGGCAACGCATGTTAAGTATGAAAATCCCACAAACAATAAGTAACGATGAGACACTGATCCTAATGATCATAATAAAATAAATTGAAAAAATTAAGATGTCTATCGAATGCTGGTGTATGAAATACACGTAAAGTACGTAGACCTATAATAATGTTTACGCGCTATATATTCATGCTCCCCATACAGGGAATTTATTCATCAAACTCCAGGCCTCCGGCCCCTTGTAAAACAAAATTATTACAAATTAAATAAGCGTGCTGTGACAATACCGTACTTTAAATAAATTTCATTAATACACCCGTGTTTCTTTGTTTTCCTTTCTCTTAAATGCATGATAAATAAATAAACATACTTTTCTAATTATATTACTGTTTTTTGATGACATAATTTGATAAAATTTTTCATTTGTTGGAAAATTAATATAATATGATGGGAGATATGTTTTTCTTAAATCAGTATATAACTTGCAAAACAAAAGAAAATGAATCTCATCTTCGATGCTACCATCTTGGCAAATACAAAGTCTATTTTTATAATTAACATTGTTTTTACGCCCCTTTTCAATTTCAAGGTTATGATTTGATATACGAAAAGATGTCATTAACAGTTTAAAATACGGTTTTATATTCATTGAGAGATAAGCTTCAATTCCAAAAGCACACTTGAATTTAACATATTGTTTCAATTTATTTGAATTATTTATACTGTTAAACCAATTTTGTTCATCTATGTCTTGGCATCGTTTGTTAAAATTATAAATGAAAGCCGTTTCATCACCCACCCCATTACGCGCTATATATATCAAATCAAGAATGAGATATAAAGTGTTTAGGCCTATATTTAAATAAAACCAAGGATAATTTGGAGTTTAGATCAATTATCATGCGATATCATCACAGAAATCTATTATTTTATTTTAAACTCCTACAATTATATTGCTTTTTTAGACACTTACATGTATGTTGTTATTCTTCGGTTCCACCCTGCGGTGACGATTCTTTGGCGTGGAACGACTATACCAGTCACCTAGAAGGAAACATACACAACATACGATTGCTTAAAAATAATTGGAAATAGACTTCTGAGAAAGAAATTACATTTAATACTACAGTAATAACCTAGTAGATCTAATGGTCTCTCGTCGGTTCCAATTAAGTTTGGTTCATACTAGAATAATTTGGACGCGCGCGTTAACGATAGCACGCAAGCAACAACTCGTCTTGTTCTAGTGTGAACCAAGCATTATACATTCAATTAAAGTAATCGTTTTCGTAGCCAGTTGAATCTCATCCAACATCATGGTAACACGCTATCGGTTATCGTATTTTTAATCAGTTTAGTTGTAATAAAATTAAGGAAACAGTTAAAATGTCTAGGTCACAGGGTGTGTAGTAACAAACAGTAAAAAGATATACAACAAATTAAGTAAACAAAAATCCGTCAAAACTCAACACAAGTAAAAATATGCAAGAAAAAAAAAAAGAGAAAATATATTTGCCAAATCAGAGTAAAACTAAAACCTTTAGAAACATTATACATTTTAGCCGTATTTTTTTTTTATAATGTTCAGGCATTTTTAAAAATAGCTGTAACCGCAATCCACTGGGACTTTGGTGACCTGTCCTGTGCTGAAGGTATGATGGCAAAGTGTTTAAGAGCAGTTTAACACTAGTTCCTTTTGCCATAACAAACTCATATATTCGAAGAGAAATTTTACTCATTTTCTTATAAATGCAACAAATTCAAATTTAATGTCGCTAGTGGGTAGTCTGCGATCCATTTTTGTCAATTAATCTACAAAATAAATTTGTTCATCATTTATATACTTTTTAATTAGGCATATGTCTTTGTTAATTTCCACACGGATATCTTGAGTAATATTTTCTTGAAAAATTTATGACTCTTGGTATTTCTACTGGAAATCGTGTGAATTTATTTTTGTATAGATCTATTAGTTGCTTAATGAGAAATAAATGAAAGTAGAAAAACAACCCCAGCTAACAATTTTACTTTCTAATGACGTTATTAAAACGTAAAATTGTTACAATAATTTTAACATAACGTTATTATAACAATGTTACCGGTACGTTATATAAACGTTGTAGTCGTTTGTTGTTGCTGTTGTTGTTGTTGTTGGTTTTTTTTTTTGTTTTTTTTTTTGTAGAACCATAAATACGTATTTATATCGTAATTTCGCAACTAAATAACATTGTAATCTTGGTCACCGCCACTTTTTTAGACATTAACTAACGTTTTGAGATCTATATGACCACTACACGTTTTTGCTTTTTCTTTACCTCAAACGAGTCAAATACTTCAAGTTCTCGCAAGCAAGCGCCGTTATTAAAATTCCAGATCTTAACTGTTCCGTTCCTGCCACCAGTCACCAATCGGCGTCCAGTTGGATCAAACGTCATAGCCGTGATTTCTGCGCACTTTTCGACACCCTTTTCGATGTACTTGTGCGCATTTGCGAACTGGATAGTCTTCAGTCCGGTCATGATGTCCCATACGCTAACCACTGAATCGTGGCACGAGCTAACGACTTGGTTGAAGAGACTATTATATATCGCCTCGGTGACTGGTTTGTTATGGGATGTGACTTCGTCTTCCTCGCCCTCGACTTCCCACTTGTGTTCCAGAATTGCTAGCTGCAATACATACAAACACACTATTTGCAGCAAACGTCTGGCGAGTGCAATAATTAGCATAAAAGGGAGACAATATTAATATGAAATGCACATAATGCATATCAACAGAGTATCATGAATTGTGTAATGCTCTATTGTTACTCCACTCCCAATTCCTAATTCAGATTGTATGTTACTGTATGGATTGGATTAGGAGAATAACATCCAATAAGAATTAGGAATTTAAGACTGGTGTAACAATATCCACTGGACTACCCTTTTACTATCTTTTTCCTCTTTCGTGAAGACAATTTTATTTTAATCTCGAAGACAATAATTTAATTAAAATATAAAGTTTATTAAATTTACAGTCTGAATTTCTGGACAAACTTCAATCAATTATGATAATATGCATTCTAATAATGATTTATCCTTTCTTTCACTTTTCTTGAGCCTTAGCTATATTCATAATTATAATCATTGCCCCCATCCTGGTCTTTGCCATCAGCATCATCACCATCATCCTCATCCACATCAACACATCACTATTTACCTTTATCATCATCACCACCATCGTCATCATCATCATCATCATCATCATAATCAACATAATTATCTTCATCAAATGAATAGTTTCACTATCATCATACCATGTACATTATCATCATAATCTCTATTGGCATTTTTATAATCATCATTATCGTCATCATCATCATCAGCATCATCATTACCACACTATCATCATAATACACAATGTTTACCATTCTACACTCTATTAGTAGGCCTATTCCTAGTTTGTGTTTCGTTCAATCACCTCCTACCATGCACACCTACTAATCAATTCATACTCTTTGGTGGAATAAATTAATCAGGTGATATAAAACAATCTGGCTCACCTGATTTGTCCCGAGAATGAGTGATCCTGTCTTAGCGTGGAAGCACACAGTGTTGATTAGGTGGGGGCCGAGGTTCATGATTCGCGGATTGATATTTTGAACACACGTTTGATCGCGCATGTCCCAAACTTTGATTCCCTGTTGGTGGAAAATACGACACGTTCGGGTGATTAGTTCAAAAAGAAAAATAATCGAGAAGGAATGAGTACATGGGGGATAATACGGTACTTGCTGGAAATATAAAGAAATTAATCACATTAATTGTCAATTTAGTATGGACTTTAAAGATGTGAGAACATTAATGTTGAACAAGCATTAACACACGTATCATCGACGACAACAATTATTCCCACGAGCTAGATGATGGATGGCACGGCACGATTAACGACTAATAAATAAGCCATGTTGTTGTTTTCTACTAAGGCTTTAGGATTGTGGATCAGGTTTGGCATTATAGGCGGTATATCAGGTACGACGCTCGAGCCTTTCAAGCATGTACGCACGCGCTACCCGATCACATGTGCATTCAGTTAATCAGACGTGTACGCAAGTGCATTTACCCACCTTGTCTTTTCCTACGCTGATAATCTGGAAGTGTGGTCCGTTCACGACCACGTTGATCACGGCTGATGTATGGCCTTTCATCATTCCAGTGGCTTTCGTGGTCACATACGGATTCCATATACGTACCGCGCGGTCCATTCCTCCCGTTACTTTCGAAGAGAATAGTAAACAAATTAATGCAGATCTCTGACGTCACATGTGAATATTACATTCTAAATGAAAATGAGAGCGCACACTAATCATTAAAATGGTAACATACTGAATCCGGTCAACCAGTGATGGGAATCCCAAAATTTCAATGTTTTATGGTATGGAAGCCTAGCATTGTTGATTGTGTTTGGATGATACGCCTAGTAGCGTTTGTTTCTTTTATTTTGGACGATGTGTGAAGCACTTTATGCACAAATTAATATAATAATATAAATTTCATACTTACCAATGATATTGTTGTCCTTACAATAGTCAAAGCAAAGTACACCTTTTCTAAGTTTAAAGAACGATCCACTATAACGAAAAAAATATAACAAAAGTTATTAATCAGGTTGGCAGGCCTGACCTACCAGGGGAATGTAACAGTAGTTCTACCCGTGAATGATGTTATTAGTACGTCATTAGTAATTCCTTTGTGGATGATTAGTAGGCCTACAATCTATCCAACGAATAACATTCATTGCGTTGAACCACGGAAAAGCATTGCGCACAGAAGCGCATGATACGTCAATAAGGGGTGGGCAAATTGTCGATGAAGTAATGTTACATCGGAGTGAAAGATGGGATGGACGGGCTATTCGTTACCTTTTCTTGCCTTCGAGGTCTCCGATGTATAATGAAGTGTCGTTTGTCGTGGCGCACGAAACGAATGAGTGTAGGTTGTCACAATACTTAACTTTACGGACCCAGTCATCATGCAGAGGCTGAAAAAAAACCCCCAATAGTATTCATAAATTACTGTTTCATGAAGTTTATGAAATTGATGAGTTCAAAGTCCAGTTCACACAGCTCGCTTTTTGCCTCATTTGCCACTTGCAAAAAAAGTTACGTTAAAGCTTGTACATGTCCTACTGCTTCAGCTAACATTTTCATGCATGAAACTCGTTGCTCTGTTATCTATTTCTTGCGTTTGCACCAATTAGCCTAAGATTATTTAACGCTAAGGCATGGTTCACATTAGGCTATTTTATTAGACGCGTTGACACGCAAACACAAGCAGTGTTGGCGTAGCGTTGCTTAAGTTTGAACGCGTCTAAATTTCTCTAAAGTAAATCAAGCTTGTTTACAGACTGCACTTCGAAATTCGATGTGACGCGTTTATCATAACTAAGGAAAATATCACGTTTTAATTTCAGCAACGAAATATTAATTTAAAAGTGATGAAACTGAATTAAGAAAATATTCTTGCAAGAAAATGATATGTATTTAATACAAAATATCTATTTAATACTTACGGAAAATCGAACGGCCTTTACGCCTTTTACGGTTCCTCTCAGAAGTTCAGGGAACGGTACACGGCGCGATCCAACTAAAATGAAACGCAATATATTAATGAAATTCGTGTCCTCTGATAAGTAGCCTACCTTATTCCAGGGGCGGACAGGGACCCAAAGTTACCGGCTCGAAAACTAACCTAGGGGCGCTGGCGACCGGAAGGAGCGCTTGTGTTTTTGTCATAATGGAGTAGGCCTATTAGTATTAGAGACAATATTATCCTTTTTGAGCACTTAAAACGCATATTCTCAACAAAAACAACAAACTTTTATGAAGGCAGTTGAATATTGTTTCTTGTTCATATTTGATTGGCTTTAAAAGAAGAAAAATAAGAAATCGACCACGATGGGACTCGAACCCACAATCTTCCGATTCGAAGTCGGACGCCTTATCCATTAGGCCACGCAGCCGTCGATGTCGTTCTATAACGTTTGAAATCTGAATCTGATATGAAGTTACGTCGGTCACTTCTACTCTCTACAAAATGATTGTTAAACAATAATCTTTGTGTATTAATTACGGTTTATAATATCTTACTCCTAATCTAAACACAAGTCATATCCAGTGGCGTATCACGGGGTCATAATAATAATAATAATAATATTTGCTTTACAAGTTCCTACTCCGTTATTTTCATTTGCAGCAATATTTACAATAAAAACAATCGACCACGATGGGACTCGAACCCACAATCTTCCGATTCGAAGTCGGACGCCTTATCCATTAGGCCACGCGGCCGTTCATGTCGTTACTATATGTCTGAACGGTACACGGCGCAATCCAACTAAAATGAAACGCAATATATTAATGAAATTCGTGTCCTCTGATAAGTAGCCTACCTTATTCCAGGGGCGGACAGGGACCCAAAGTTACCGGCTCGAAAACTAACCTAGGGGCGCTGGCGGCCGGGAGGAGCGCTTGTGTTTTTGTCATAATGGAGTAGGTCTATTAGTATTAGAGACAATATTATCCTTTTTGAGCACTTAAAACGCATATTCTCAACAAAAACAACAAACTTTTATGAAGGCAGTTGAATATTGTTTCTTGTTCAGTGATAACTAGTCCTATCTAAATTGTATTTTGCCTTTAATAAAGGCGCCATACCGCAAAGGCGCATCGGTACACAATCGATTGAAAGATGGGTCACTCAGCACCTGCGTTAGTATACGTTTGTCTTCTTCCTGCACACAATAGGTGTACAAATGGTTAGGCCCAACCTATTTGTAGGAAATGAATCAGTATTGAAGTAAATGATGTGGACATTTTCGTCTGGTCTCTGGAATATTCCGAAACAATGGAGCGGAGGAGGCCTAGGGTACACATTATCACATTGTGTTATTATGCCTACTAACAGGATAGCAAAAGACAATCACATGACGTCGTCATTTGAATGATATATATCTCACTAACGTAACATCATATCTAAAATCTAAATATGTCAAATCCAATTATTTATAAGCATCAAAATAGGTTGTGAACTTGAACATTTGAAATGCCAAGTGAATAGTTTGGACATCAAATTCCATGATTGCAGATGTTAATCTAATATGATTCATGTTTTAACCCAGAATTCTAATTTCAAGCCAACTAATTCCCCGGAGTGGTGTCCAGTCAGACAAACCAGACGTGTTGCACTGTAGTTTTGATAGTTTTGACAACATTCTGATCTTTAAAATTGACAGATAATGTAAACTTAAAGTAAAAGTAACATAAGTAAATTGGTCGTAGTTAAGTTGACTTAAATAACTTTGAGACCCCGCGAAAGCTCGTAAGCCAAAGTGCAGCGCCACCAACTGCCATTGAATTGGCCAGTAGCTATTCTTTTTTTTTTTATGAGTGTACATTATGCGCAGTGGTGTACCTTGCCGTATGGGAGAAAGGTTGATGGAGGATGATGGGGGGGGGGCAAGTTGGGGATTGATGATTTAGTGAGGGGGAGCTATGGTCACAAAATAAGGTGATATGAAGTGATTCCTAACTAAATGAGCCTGATTTATATTCTTCAGACATTTTCAATGGAGTGGAGGAAGCGGCTGGGGTGGGGAGAGGGAGGCGTATCCCATAGATACGCCACTGTTACTGCGTTCAAGATGTATCTGGGCCATGTACAAGAAACCCACTGCTTATTCTTTTATATTTTTTATTTCTCACACCTGACCACATCTCTACTTCCAGCCTCCTCATTTATATGAAGACCCCATCAGCTGAGCTAGGATAAGCTGGGAAGGTTATCCTCTAAAATATGGTATAACAACAAGAAAATAAAAAAGCTTTATTAAAGCTACTCGCTAAGTGTTATCTCTGTAACATCACATTGTAATATTGCCTAATTACCTTAAAAATAATGCTAGGCCTGCCACCTAATACAAATATTTGAAAATACATGAATTGCTTAATTTGTATGTACTTCATTATCTTATAGCTTTCAACCAAAATTAGAACGCGAGACATTTTTTCTTGCAAATTTAGAGACAGTTACGTATTCAGTTATACCATGGTTATACATAGTCTTTGCATAGTAAAAACATTGTAGGATATTTGAAATAAAACGTCTGTAAATAATGGGACACTGATTTCGAACTGAGACTGAACTGAATTTAATGACTATATGGTACTTATGATTTTATTTTTTCTTAAATATTGTCTTGATCTTTGGTGGCAGTGCATATTTGATTGGCTTTAAAAGAAGGAAAATAAGAAATCGACCACGATGGGACTCGAACCCACAATCTTCCGATTCGAAGTCGGACGCCTTATCCATTAGGCCACGCAGCCGTCGATGTCGTTCTATAACGTTTGAAATCTGAATCTGATATGAAGTTACGTCGGTCACTTCTACTCTCTACAAAATGATTGTTAAACAATAATCTTTGTGTATTAGGCCTAATTACGGTTTATAATATCTTACTCCTAATCTAAACACAAGTCATATCCAGTGGCGTATCACGGGGTCATAATAATAATAATAATAATATTTGCTTTACAAGTTCCTACTCCGTTATTATCATTAGCAGCAATATTTACAATAAAAACAATCGACCACGATGGGACTCGAACCCACAATCTTCCGATTCGAAGTCGGACACCTTATCCATTAGGCCACGCGGCCGTTCATGTCGTTACTGTATGTCTGAAATCTAAACAGATATTTGTTATCTCCAATAATAGTCTTTGGGTATTATGCTTTAGAATTTCCAAAGGTGAAATGTATTGTAAAGTACCACTCTATTCGATATTAAAGGCCTGTTTACACTATAACGATTAACAATCAACGATAAAACTCTAAACCAATTGTTCATATATAGAAATCTTACGACACGAAGAGGGAACGCCTTATCATCGGACCACTTTACGTCGGTCTCTTTTGTCACTTGTATGCATCCACCAAGGCTTTTTAATCAAATCTGACGTAATGAGGGAGTGTGGTATGGAGGGAATAATACAATTATTAATAAGTTTACCTTTCAAAAGCTTTATCTTTTTAGGTCATGTGGCAGTGTCCTGAAACTATAAAATACGTGGGCCAATTCTAATACGTTGCTTGTGAATAATTAAATACAACCATGAAAGATACAGCATTTCAATTAAATCTATAATTGTCTCAGATTACATTCGACATAATGAGGATAGGTGGGACTTGTAGTAGGAAATAAGTAATTACTACAGATATCTTTATAGGCCTAATTGACTGTTATTATTAAGCTCGGTAATCCTACTATTATTAAGCTTATTGGTTTTTTTTTATTACTATTCTCAGGACTATCATGGTAATCATCATCATAATCATCATCATCATCATCATCATTATCATAATCATTTATTATTTGAAATGGAACTTAAATTACTGTAGGCCTAATCCGAAATTAGTTACAAGAAATATAGTGCTCTAAACAACGAATATCTCGGAGTGTTATGCTACTGGAAATTGTTTTGCTGAATCCTTGCTAATGATTGGACAAAACTCGTACAATCTGTTTTACATACTTCTAAAATAATTCTATTACAAAATTGATGTTGAGTGAAAAATAGCTTCAAGAAGCTATAGTGCGCCCTCGTTGTTAAATATTGTCTGGTAACTTTTTGCGTACATACGAAAGACTCAAAAAAGTGACTGAGAAAGGTGGACTGGTGTCGTCCGAACGCTCTGGTTCTATTTCTGATTGTTTACTTAGGTTTACAAATTAGCTGTTGCTTATCGTACATGTATCTTTACAGTGAAACAGCC